AGAAAGATTTTAATTCACCCCTCTTGAATTAAAGTTGTCTATTTCAATACGTATACATTACTACTTTAAATAAAATTTTGTTAGACTAATTTATTTTCACTCCTTACCACGATCAAAACTTAAAAGGGGAGGAAAAATTATAAATAAAAATATCTTTAAAACAGAAGAGACACATGTGGTCCAACGATAGGTGGAGTATAAAATAAAATTTTTAAAAAGAATTTTTTTCCTTAAATAAGAATGTTATTTATTTTTTTGTTAATATACAAATCCTTTTTGGCCTTTTTACTCTACAAAGTTACTATCAAATATATTTTTGTTTGTGAACTTAAATCTCAAGTTTTAGTAGTTGTACTTGTATTCTTGGGCCGTTCCTAAAGATACTAAACTAATATCTTATCAAAAAAGAACTAATGGTTAAATGGATAATTAAAATACATACGTGTCCATAACACTTTCAAATGTAAGATATTTACTACCCAAAACTCTCTTCATCTCTTTCATTGCATATTTTTAAAAGAGGGAGTTATAATTATATCAGTGTAATTTTTATTAAGTATTATACCACTTAATAATTTATATTAAATATAAATTTTGTAAATTTAACCGTTAGATTAAAAGTTCATATCACTTTATATATGTATATCAAATTTTGTTAGAGCATCTCCAATGCTAGGTTCTTATTCGGTTCTTAAGTTTAAGCTCTCATTACTTATAAGAAACCTACATTGGAGCATGCTAACATGGCAAGTCAAATTGCTAAAATTTAAACACCGTTGCTTATATAAGAGACGATTGCTTAAGAATAAAAAAATAATTTAATATTTCCTTCCTTCACTGATACCAACAACCATAATAATTAAAAATATATAAAATTTATTAAAAATGAAGTATGAGTAGGGGTGGGCAAAAAAAACTGAACTGAACTGAACTGGTGGTGAACTGTACTATAAAAAACTGAACTGTTTGTAAAAAAACTGAACTGAACTGTTTAAAAAAAAACTGAACTGAACTGAACTGTTATAAAGTTGAACTGTACTAAACTATAAAAACTGAACTGAACTATAAAAATTGAATTATTTTTATAAAAGAATAAAAATTAAATGTGTTTAACATATTATGTCTTAATGGATTAGCTCGATAGTCTAATAACCAAAACTTAAAAAAAAGTGATCTGAAAAAAAATTGTATCAATTTTGTCGAACTTAACGGATCAATTGAGCTATGTTGAACTACTTATTTTTAGGCTTAAAATTTACTGAGTTTGTTTGACTTAATTTTATATTTTTTCCTTTGAAAAATTTAAATAAAATATAAAATAAAGTAAAGTTGGCAAATGTGTCCTATTTTGATAGATCAATGAGTCAAAATTGTTCAATTCAAAATATCATAACAGTTTAGTGCAGTTTAAATTGTAGTTCAGTTCAAGTTTTTATAGTACAGTTCAGTTCAGTTCAATGACACAAAAGAATAGTTCAGTTCAGTTTGTCTGAACTAATGTTTAGTTTAGTTCAGTTCATATGAACTACTTTTAAGTTCAGTACAGTTTTTATAAGTTCAGTTTAGTTCAGTTCGTTTTGCCCACCCCTAAGTATGAGTGATTAAAAAGTGGAGGTGCTTATAAGCAACTTTCATTAGAATAAAAATTATAAAAATGTAATATAAGTTGCTTATGAGTGACATGCCAGTGTGGGATCCATTTAAAGTGGACGAGAGTTGCTTATAAACAACTCTCATTGTAGATATTCTTAAAATTAAACAACAACTTGAAGATAATCAAAGTGTTCATATTTTAGTATATTTTGAAATGAATATATTACGTCAATTTTGTTTTATAAGAATGAAGTTTCAAATCATCTTTGATTAATATAAAATTTTATATATATGATTTAAGAGTAAAGAACTTTCAATCTAACGGTTAGATTTACAAAATTTATATTTAATATAAAATTATTAAGTAATGTAATATTTAGTAAAAACTATATAAGTATAATTATAACCTCTCTTTTTATAATATGAAAAATTGACATGAGATGAAGCATTAATAACATAAAATAAAGAGTGAAGCATGAATGTTGAGTTTGGGTCAGTGAACGTATGCAAACAATACGCATTGAACCTACAATTTATTTTCTGGACTCGCCAACCTCGCATCACCATGACACCATCCATTGTTATCCATGGTGTGTAACACGTTTCTGTAGTAAAATCCACATATGAATTTATAAAATATTAAGTGGGGGGTAGATGCTAATAAAATAATAGATACGGTAGATAAGTAAGATAATTTATTTATATCTAACATTCTATGCAATACTTTGTCAATCCAAACTTTTAAAATATAATGTTCTGAATCCTGCTGTAAAAGTTATATCCTAATAAAATATATATTTGAGGGACGGATTCACATGAAAGACCGTGCATCCACTATCATTTTACAATTTTATATAACATATATATTTGTTATTTTATAAAAAATAATATATTTAAAAAATAAAAATTATATCTTAATAAAAATAAATTTGCATATGCTTAAAATATGTATATATAAAATTTAAGTTCAAAATAAATGTGAATTTATTTGATGTTTGTCAAATTTTTGAAAAAAATTAATTTTTATATGAAAAATTATCTTTGATAACAAATTGATTTATTTTTAAAGTTTAATTAATTTATATATATATTAATATTCACGTATATAATGTAATATATTAAATTTTGATAAAATGAAATTTTTGACATGTATTTTTTATTAGATATTAAAAATATATTTATAATATTTTAAAATAAATTATCATTTTAAAATATATATTAGATATTAAAAATATATTTATATAATAAATAAATTAAATTTATTTTTTTTATAAAATATAATATATTTATTTTTATATTTTTATTAATGATAAATTACTATAAAATAGGCCTTTAAATAGAGAATTGTAGTTCTAACCAAAAAAATTTATAAAATTATATTTAAAACATGTATTTTTAACGGTTAGGCTCAAACTTACTAAATCATATTATAATCTAATCTAGCTTAATTTTTCACTCTCAATTATAGTCGTAAATATAAAAATTTGTAAAAAATTATGATGTATATTTATACTTTTAAATGTGATATATAAAATTTTTAATGTTACAAATATATGAATAAGTATTACTTTCACTATTTTAGATCTCTCTATATATATAGAGTTAATCATTCATACACTGTTAGGGTAAAGTTTTTTATACTGAGAACCAATCATATTTTTTTAATTATTTTATTTTATTTTTTTATTAAATAAGCAACTGACATGACATAATTAAGAGATATAATTAATTATCAGTGTAAAAAAAACTTTACACTAACAATATATAAGTGATTAACTCATACTATAATCGCTCGCTTTTTTTTCATGTAATTTGAATGGATAAAAAAAAAAACTGTTAAGCAAATCTGCATGCACATAAATTTACATTAAAAATTATTTCATCTAATTAATGTCTCATATGGTCACGGTGAAACACGGGCCTCACGTTGAAAAACAATACCGCTTCATATTTCAACCCTTGCTTTGAATATGGAACAAAAAAGAAAAAGAAACAAACTATAACACTGTTGCTTGAAATTTGGAGGAAAATAAATATATGATTATAATCTACGAAAATTATTCGCCTTACAGAGACAAGTCCAAATGCAAAAACTTAAATATAGGCTTCACAGTTAACACTGGTTGCTGATGCTGATGAAGAAAATGATATTGAAAAATAATAAATAAATGTACCATAACATTTGTGGAAATAGGCAAACTGCATTTACATTTGGGTATTCAGACCAATTCATCACAGAACAACTGTCAAATACTTGTTGGCATCTTATTATATAGAATCTTACATATAAAAATTATATTGATAGAGAGCTATGTCCTCCTTGGGAGTTCGGAAATTCCTTTACTATGATGGCATAATAAGAAGAAGGAAAAAAAAAAAAAAAAAGTTTCTCACAGTGTACAAAATATACATAAATTAAAATAAAAATCTTTCAGAAGAAAACAAACAGAAATGCTTATAACACTTTATAATTTATTTTTCTTTACCACATAAGTCTCTTCTTTTGTTTAATACTTTGGCTTCAGAGGGCCGAGACGGAAAAGATTAGGGGTGGGCAAAACGAACTGAACTAAACTGAACTTATAAAAACTGTACTGAACTTAAAAGTAGTTCATATGAACTGAACTAAACTAAACATTAGTTCAGACAAACTGAACTGAACTATTCTTTTGTGTCATTGAACTGAACTGAACTGTACTATAAAAACTTGAACTGAACTACAATTTAAACTGCACTAAACTGTTATGATATTTTGAATTGAACAATTTTGACTCATTGATCTATCAAAATAGGACACATTTGCCAACTTTACTTTATTTTATATTTTATTTAAATTTTTCAAAGGAAAAAATATAAAATTAAGTCAAACAAACTCAGTAAATTTTAAGCCTAAAAATAAGTAGTTCAACATAGCTCAATTGATCCGTTAAGTTCGACAAAATTGATACAATTTTTTTTCAGATCACTTTTTTTTAAGTTTTGGTTATTAGACTATCGAGCTAATCCATTAAGACATAATATGTTAAACACATTTAATTTTTATTCTTTTATAAAAATAATTCAATTTTTATAGTTCAGTTCAGTTTTTATAGTTTAGTACAGTTCAACTTTATAACAGTTCAGTTCAGTTCAGTTTTTTTTTAAACAGTTCAGTTCAGTTTTTTTACAAACAGTTCAGTTTTTTATAGTACAGTTCACCACCAGTTCAGTTCAGTTCAGTTCAGTTCAGTTTTTTTTGCCCACCCCTAGAAAAGATCGTGGTCCTAATACTTTTCTCTCTTCTTCTTCTTTTCTTGTAAACTGTAAATTCTATCATAAATTTGATGTATAAGTAGTATCATTCTTTAGATTACTATTAAAGTTCCTTGGCCAACTATAGAGTTGACCTGTTCTTTGGTTCCATGAACTTTTTTTTTTTTTTTTTTTGGGTTAAAAAGTTGGCAGTTTACCTAACAGAAAAGCCATTGAACAATACATTGATGCGACACATAGGAAACAACCATGTAATATTTGAATTATTTTCTTCATTTAAAAGTATTTTAAAAGAAAAGAAGTACAAATTTTAAAGGAAATAGTCTACAAGAATGTAGAATAGTAACAAATGTTGCAGCAAACCATGAACTGATAATATATACACAAAGCAATTTTCCTTCGAAAATATATAAAACAATAGAGAGAACATCAAATAGAATAGAAAGAACAAAGTATTAAAATTAAATGAGACAAGCTCAAAATTGAAGCAGTCAAAATGTGTACAAAACAAATATTTGTGTCTGTCATGACCCAGTTTCTGTAATTACCTGAATCCTAGTTCTATAATCACCTTTTATTTATTTCTTTTTCTGTGTATATTACATTCCAATTTGCATCTAAGGGAAACCCCAAAAATCTACCCCCGGACTCACCATGTTTACAATTATGAGACTATACACCTTTCAACCTCCAATAAAATGTTAAACATCAGCACACTTCATGGGTGCATACCCAAGTCTAGATTTCTTCATGTCATACAGTATGTGAAAATTCTGCTGCTGATAGTTTCCAATTATTGAAAGAGCAGATCTAGGAGTCCCCAAAATAGCCAAACAAACAACATCAGGATCAATCTGGATGAAGTAATTTTCCACCGGAAAATTCCACACTGCCCCATCAGCAAACGAGATCCCAAAGTCAGGTAGCTCCATCTTTTCAATTCCAGACACATTGTAACATGGCTTTAGAGGAGGAAGGCCTTCAACAAGTGCATAGCCCTTAATTTTCTTCACAAAAGCCTCCTTGATGATCTCATAAGCAGGCTCAGCAAAATATGTTAATGTGGTGCCAGAATCAATTATGGTTCCACCAGCACCTTCTGCTGACAAATGCCAAGTCTCCTCAGGTATCTTCAGCACCTCATCATCAACCATAACAGATTTTATCTCCACATAGTAAAATGTATCAACTGGATTCTCTTTGCCACCAGCAAAAGAAGTGAAATTCAAATTGGGGTGGCTGAGAAGTTCCTTGTCCTCACCAAAGATCAATTTGCTACTGACACTTGCATTGCTGTTTCTATCCACAAGACAATAGGAAAAGGAATGACCATAGAGAGATTGCATCTGAGAAGCAAATGACAGTGGTCCTCTCCCCAATCCTAGCAAACCAGCAGCACCGTGAAAAAGGCCTCTATTCCAATGACCACATCCAAACATCACATTCTCCACATGCTTCAATTCTGACTTCCCATAAGGAGTGGTTAGATTAACAGTAAAAGTCTCCAATGCAAAATCCCCAGTTGTGTTTGAACCATCCCCATACCAATAAAAGTAGGGACAACTCTGATTCTCACCCTTGCAAGGCTTAGGTGGATCCGGGGATGAAACCAATTGGCACCTTGGATCCTGACAACTTATATTCCTAAAAGAGCTAGAATCTTTAGGATCATAATATGGCCCACTTTGCTCAAAACATGCAATGCAAGGAACACATTGAATCCAATTTAGGTCACTACCAGTATCAAGTATCAGAGAAAAATGCTTCGGAGGTGTTCCCACAAACACATCCATTAAGTACTCACCAGAGCCAAGACTCACCCCAGATTCCAAGGTTGCCACAAGCTGCCCGGAGACCCCACTTGCCGGCGAAACCGCCGGAGCAACCGCCGGCTTGTAGGACTGCTTCTTTGGTTGATCCTGTGATTTTTGCAGCCTTGAAACTGTGTTTTGGTTCTTCTTTTCTATGACCCTTCTGTGAAGGTTCTGAATTCTGGTCAAATCCCTCACAATAAGAGACTTTTTAGGCTCAGAATCTTTGCTCCCTGACCTGTGTTTCAAGTGGAATTTCACCAAATGCTTGTTCGGTTTTGATGCTGAAAAAGCATCACCCTTTTCTTCACCTGATGTCATGGTGGGAAGTTGCTCAGAATTTGAGAGGCTACAATCAGTGTCCCCTGAAGAAGAGACATCATTGAAACTTGGATGATGAGGAAACTTTATGGCAGCAAGAGAAGATCCATTTTTGTTGAAACTGTTGTCATTGTGATTCCCATAAACGGCTTCCACGTCACAAGAGCATATCACAAGGAGAATCAAAATGAGAGAAACCTTAAAAACCATAGTAAAGATGCCCTCTTTCTTGGACCCAATGAAAATCCTAGACCAAGCACCTTACTTTCTAGGGAGAAAATCTATTTTTTTGTGTGAATTTCTGAGCTTAGCCAAAAGGGGGAAAGGCTTGAGTTCGCAAGTTTCTCTCAAAGCCAATCAATCAGAAGGACAATGAATGAAGATGGGAATTGAGAAAGCAAATGGAAATTGAATGAATGTAAAGTTGTGAGTTTTGAGGCCAAAAAACTTTGGTTTGGTTTATGCAGATGGGGATTTGTGTTGAGAAGGTGAGAGAAGGAAGGAAGAAAGAAAGAATGAAAAGGAAGGTGGAGAGTTTGAGCTTTCCATCATGTGACTTTATTAGTATCAAGTAACAACGAATGAGAAAGACTTGGAAGCCTAATGTCAAAGATAGTGCCCAACAACGCGCTTTCATTCACAATAATAAAGTGCTACAGTAATATTTATTAACCTCTTCAAATTAATTATAAACAGACTCAAAAAACACACATACAATACTAATATTAATACATTGCTGTGACCAGAATGTTCTATATATCTTAAACAAGATTTTGGATATTTCTATTTATGGATTAAAAAAATATTGGAAAATCTGCCCAGAAAGAACAATCAAAATCTTTAATAAAAACTCTATTTAGAATGACCAATCAAAATTATTAAAGATCGGTTATCATTAAAACTTTTATTTTTTTTCATCTATAATATAGTTTAAGAATTAAATATATTTTAGTCTTTCAAATTTAATTCTCTTAAATTTAAATTTAATATTTTTATTTGTATAATTTCAGAAAAACTTATTTTATTCCTATGATTACATATAACATTCTTAAAAAAAAAATTACATATAACATAACTAACGGGACGAATTGAGCCGATTGTTTGATATTCATTGAGTTTAATGTAATAGTTATTAATAAAAATATTGTAAGTGAATTTTGTAAAAGTGATTTCATTGATGAATTTTGTGTAACAAATTACTTAATATTGTTAGACATGCAGATTGAAATAAACTTTTTCTTCTTCGAATTACATAGATTAAAAATTAATTTTGGATTTGAGAGATAAAAAAACATGTTTACATGTATTTGAGAAACTAAAATATATTTAAATAAATAGATGGTGTTGTTGTTGCAGGGGATTTTCCTGTGTGCTTCGTGGTTCACATTGGGTTGTGATTGTCGCAGATCACGTTACTCTTACCTTACGTGGCTAGGCTGCAACTTAAAGAACAAAAAGTCAAAGACATTGAGTTTGTTAGGACCCAAAAGAAAAAAAACAAAAAAAAATTGTAGCAGTCTCTGGTCGCTGGTCAGAGTTTTGAATGAGTCGTTCTTCTACTCTTGGTAATGAAGTGAACGATGAACATGGAGAATGACAAATCCACCTTTGTCTTTTAAATAACTAAAAACAAATGCTACACTTATACGCTGGAAAGTGGAAGAGAATTGTATCTACTGATTCAGGAGAATGATATCATTTTGGACCCTCTTTTACGGGATTATCATTTCTATTTTCAAAATCTCCCAACAATATTTTATTTAGTTAAATTCAGATTTCCATCCTTCAAAAATGTGTAACTTTCATGCTTAGTTCCTCGTTTTTATTTTTGACTGAATTATACTTTTCTCTCTTATTTAATTTTCTAAATATATTGTGTGAATCAATTCACATGTGATTATATGCTTATCAAGAAAGGAGTTTCATTAATTCACCCATATACTTCTTTAATTTTTAAAATTAAAGTTTTCTCTAATCTATCATGAATTTCTCTTTCCATCATATTTATTACCCGAATACAGTAGTTAGTTTATTTTCTCTTTTCTTTTTGTTGTTTCTTTTTCTCACTTATAAAAAAAAATGAGTAATATTAAATTATTAAAATCACAACATGAAAAAATTCTTCTTCTAATTTTATACAAGTTGAATCTGGCGTATCATTATGTTAAAATTTTCTAAATAAGTGTATACTACTCTTTAAGAAACGAGAAAATATGATTAAAAATTAAAATTATTTGTGAAAGTCCTTAATCAGATGTAAACGCTCATTAGAAAAAAAAAAGTTTTTTTTTTTATATAAAATAGTTGCATATAAAGTTTATTAAAAAAAAAAAAGAGAGATAAAATATTTAATTGGTGATATAACTTTTCAAACCAACTATTAATATATATAATAATATGTCAAAGCAAAATTCAAACAATTTTATATTTATTCAATATATAAAATGATGCACATCAATAACTATTTATATGTCAAAGCGAAATTCAAGCAATTTTATATTTATTCAATATAAAATGATATCATATCAATCTTTTGTCAACTTAATTATCATATCGAACTTAATTTGCACGAGTTATAGGAATCTCTGGACCGCGTATATGTGTATGCGTAAAAAAAAAAAATATATATATATATATATATATATATAATTAAATTTTAATAATTTTGTTTTACTTAATAATTAATATTTTATGCTAGATTTTAATAACCTAGTTATTAAATTAAAAATTCTTAATATATAGATTAAGTTATGTAAATTTTAAAAAAAATTAAAAATTATTTAATATTTTGTTTTATTAATTTCAATTAACGTGTAAAATATTTTTATAAATATTTATCTATTTGAATTAAAGAAATGAAGTATTAAATATTTTTTTAATTTTTTAAAAATTTATAAACTTAATTTATGTATACTTTTAATTTAATAATAAAATTGTTAAAATTTAATATACAACATAGATTATTATGTGGAGTAAATTTTAGTATACATTTTTAAAATAAATTTATAAGTGATTTCCCTCTCTTATATATATATATATATATATATATATATGTGTGTGTGTATGTGAACATCAATTTTAATTTGAAATTTGCATATTAGTTTGTATCTGCCACTAAAGAACAGTGTCCACATAATCTAACTAGCTAAAAACTCCTCTAACAAAAATATCCAGTATAAGTATATATATTTTGCACATCCCCTTTCATGTATCACAATTTCATAAGAAATATAAATTTTTGCATTGAGTCTGTACTTAGATACATGATTTGTTTTAATTAAGCCAATTATTGCATACATGTAAAACATGCATAATAAAAAATTGTAAAAATTATTTTTGGAATATAGACACATGCATATAAGAAAGAGACCAAAAATACCATCAAGCTTGACGTAGTTAAAAAATAACCTTATATCTAAAACATGCTGTTAGAAATCCTATTGCTGAGTCTATATATATAAAATATATGAGTTATATCTCAGCTTTCAGCTAAATAGTGTCAAATTTAAGGTATCTAGAAAATAGTGTGGATAAAATAATTCCCAAGCATGATAAATACTATCTATTATTTAGTGTAAAGTGTGGTTGCACAGTGAGGCAGCTTTATCATTGAAGCATGCAGAAAAGAAACATATGAATACGTGATTTTGTTATTGTAATGTGCAAAATGGGTTCCTTGCTTTAAAAAAAAAATAGGTTCCTTATTACTTCCCTGAACTATTTATGAATACCCAGAAATCTGAACCACACGGCAAAGGCAAAAAGTGTAAAGGAAAATTGAGATCATAGAAAAATGAGTAGAGTTGTTGAAATTTGATGCAAACATACGTGCCCAAAATCAACATCAAATTAGTGTATTTTTTAGGTAGAGAGAGGTACAATGTACCTTGAAGATGCACTATTTCATTTATGTTCACATGCTTCTTTTTATAACTAGGTTATTTGGAATAAGAAGTTAAGGATCAATTATTTAAAATATTGATATTTATCTTTCAAAGTTATATTTTTTAATACACACGAGAATCTAACTTTTGATTATATTCTTAAATACTCAAAATTATTTATTAATCATATGGCACCATGTTAGTTTTATATTATTATATGGACAGAACAAAGAAAAATTATTATGGGCACAGAAATTAAAAATAGATGTTAAAAATATACTTAAAACGCTAGTTAAAAAGCACTAAGTTAAAAATCTGTGCAACGTTATCAACTCCTTTAATGAGTGGGATTTTCCACAAACTACAAACAAAGAAACTTAGTGATTTAAATCTAAATATTAGAAGAGGTGAGTTTTATTTTTTATCTGTAATATGGTAACAAAATTTAAATTTTTAGGGGAGATTGCCCTGTTTTCGGGTACCTAAGCCCGTTCATACTTTGTGTAAAAAAAACAAAGTCGGTTCATACTTCATACTTATGCCACTGCTTCTTAGATTTTACCATGTTGTAATCTTTCTTGTGCATGTATATACTTTCTCACCCCGAAAAAAGAAAAAAAAAATTAATATGTTTGGACTGTATAAAGTTTTTATGGAATTAACGAAGATGTTGAACATTTTTGAGGCATGACCAAGTAGCAAATTTCCATGTAATCTATCTAATCGATGAGTGGTAACATGATTGGTGGGTTTGAGTGTCAACAAGCTTAAAATGAAGGAAAAATATGTACGAAATCGTTTCACTGGTGACGCTATCCATGAAGATTAGAATTAAATAGAGGAAAAGAAACCTAACTGTACGATCGATCATTGTCTTCAATCTCTGGTATTTTACTTGTGGTTGTGACATGCATTGAAAGCAATGGTTTGTGGAACCTTTAGCCAAAACTACGGTTCACACTGAAACCCAATTACCTTCCATTTTATGTTCGGTATCTGTATTGTATTAAAAAAATTAAAAAAAAAGAATGAGAAATTATTCATAAAAAAATAATTATTAAAAAATAAATAAAAAAATAAAATAATTCATGTAAAAATGAGAACCAAAAGTAATTATTGTAAAAATAATTTATTAATTTCAAATTCTTAAATTTGATTAAAAATATTTTTTCTAATTTTTTAACATAAAAGGGTATAATGGTCCAAAAAAGTAGAGACCAAGGTAGTTACCAAAAAAGGTATCATCTTTATATATTAGTATAGAAAAAAGGGTATCCCTTTTATATATTAGTATAGATTACTTGTACAAGTTGTAGTGTTATATAAATAGTACATGCTAGATATGTAATAATAGTCTATTTGTTTTTAAAAAAAAATTAAAAGTAGTGTTTTTCAACAAATATTTTTTTAAAAATAAGTCTATATAATCAGATAGAATTGCTTCTTGAAAAAGAAAGGGGTAGAGAGAGGATTGTTTAACAAAAATTATAATTTAAATGTAATTGTGGACTGTGAAATTAATTAAATATTTACAAGATTAAATAAAAAATTAAGAGATTTTACATTGAAAAAAATTAGTAAATCAATTTATAATCGTAATTATTATAAAGTCAATTTCATCATAAATTACTGATTTATTTTATTTTCTGCTAAATTTAATAATTTTGTCAAACAAATGAAAATTCTTTATAATTTGTTTAATACAAAAATTTTATTAAACAATTATAAACTCAAGTTCTCGTAGATTTGATAATTTAGGTTTTTTTTAATTTACTATTATAATAATTGATATATTAGTTAAATACGTATTAATTACTTAAATATATAGAAAATTATTAATTTATTCTATTATTTATACAATAAAAACAACAAAATTAAAACCCAGGACATTATGTTTATTATTTAAATAAAACAACAACAATAATGTTGAGAAAGAAAATACTATTTTATATATAAGTTAATCACCTGTACACTGTCAGTATAAAAAAATTTTACACTGACAACTAATCATATCTTTTAATAGTGTTTTTTTAATTTTAATTTGATTAAATAAGCAAATGACATGATACTACTAAAAGATATAATTGGTTGTCAGTGTAAAAATATTTTATACTGGTAGTATATAGGTGATTAACTCTTTATATATAAGTCACGTTTTCAAACATGATTTACTCTATTTCAAGTAATTTTTTTTAAATCTATTTATTTTGATTTTTTTTAAAATGCCTCTCTAACAAAATAATATATAATTTTTTTTATTTTTATTTATAATTTACAACTATAATAAAGGTCACGTAAACATTTTATTTTTAATTTACCTTGTAACTCTTCCTTAAATTACTTTACAAATTGTACACCTTTTAATTAATTATCCACTAATATATAAGTTTCATAACTTTTTTAACCTTTGAATTAATTATCCACTAATATATAATTTTCATAACTTTTTGAACCTTTTAATTAATTATCCACTAATTTATAATTTTCATAACTTTTTTAACATACCAAATACCTCATTTCCTTACTAGTATGTAATATAGTAATAGTAACAATAGAATCTAAATTCTTGTATCTACCAAACTTCTTACCAATTAATGGACTCTAGTATATTGTTTGTTTGCCACCTGTATAAAACACAGCATCATTAATAATAAATATTATCTGATCTCATTTGTCAAAGCACGTTGTATTTTGCTTGGACTATGAAATGAAAATCGCCATCGTCTGCACGATCCGTGTCTGTCTTATCACGTATTTGAACGAGTCTCCTATTATATTACTGCCCTAGGTTTTCAAGTGGGAAATTCATCAACGTTACATCAACTTAACTGGAAACACAATAAGCATGCATATATTATAACTTTTTTTTTTCCTATAAAAATTGCAATTTATCGCAATTTTAATTTAACTCTATTCAACCAACTCTTGAAGTCCTAAATTATAAGTAAGGTAACAAACTGAATTTATCATAATTTCATTTTATCTATCATCCTTTGTTTGATTCCATTTCTTTCAATCATGTTCTTATTGATCTGTCCAAACTAGAGACTACCATAGTTTCAATTAAATTAATTAACTCTCATACGGCAGAAGACCATGAGAAATAGAATTGACATCTTGAAAGCTGCAGAAGTCACTATTTCAAGAAAAAAGGAAAGCAGTATGGCCAAGTTAAGAACTCATCACTGTAGGGTCAACAACATCAGCGGAAGACAAGATGAAAATTTTGCAAAAATAGTGTCAATTCAACCTCAACAACCGACTTGGAGGTATCTCAAAAGAAAAAGAAAAAAAAAATTGAGTTGGAGGTATAACATGTTCTGTTCACACTTTCAATTCATAACGTAAACAAAATATTTCTATAGTGTGTTTGGATAAAGAATTTTACAAATTCAAGAAATTTTAAATTCTTAGTATTTGAATTACTTTGATTTCAATTTTTATCATTTTTAAAATATTTTGTTTGGATGAGTCAATTCAAATTTTTTAAATTTTAAATTATTAAGTTGAATATGATAATTTGATTCCATCATAGTAAAATTGATTTTAAAAATATATTTATATGTTGAAATTTTTAAATTAAATTTTATAAAAATAAATATTAATCCATTTTAAATATTTAATAATTTTAAAAATTAATATTAGATAATATTTAATAATTTTAAAAATTAATATAAGATAATATTTAATAATTTTAAAAATATTTTTGAATATCCAATAATTAAAAGAATGAAGAGATAAGATAAAATATATAGGTGAAATAAGAAAAATAAAATTGAGGAATTTCAAATTCTCCCACTTTTGAGAGAATTTGAAATTATACTATTTTAAGGAATTTCACAAATACTTGAATTTCAAATTCTTTGTAAATTTCTCATCCAAACAAAGCATTTCACTTCAAGGAATTTGAAATTCTTTAAATAAATGAATTACCCTATATAAATTCCTCATCCAAACACACTACTAAGGTTTGATACATGTTTTCTTCAAGGATTGTCCACCCCTTTCATTAATCGGTTGCTTGAGATTCTATAAAATTAAGAAACAAAATGTGAAGAATTAAACATCTTTTTCCTCCAGTGGGATGACAATTAGGAAATTTTATGTCATCATTTTTTTATTAATAGAATTTTAATTTAATTATCACTTAATTTTAAGTGGGTTCAAAGTGAAAAATTCATAATATATAGAGATTCTTCCGCTTCCTCGAGATATTAGGGTTTAAAGAGAGATTTTACTCAAAAGAAACAAATGGACCATTATTTTGATTCCTGAAAAATTTGAAGTGTCACAAATTAATATCAATTGAGATTGTAAATTAGAATCTAAATTTACATATTTTTAGTCAAAATAATTTAACTATTAGTAGACATTAGTGATGCCTCAATTATGAATTTTTAATGTCATTTACTAAATCATTATATGTAACATCCATCTCATTAGGAATTAAAATTAATTTTATAAAATTAAAATCACAGTAACAAAAATATTTTTTAATGTCCATGACATAACATGTCGACATGATAACAGCTGTTCATTTAATCTTTTATGTCATTTTCATTTAGTATTTTATCTTCGTATAATGGACAATAATTATGCATCTGCATTATATTGATGGTTGCGTTACATAAATAAGTATTTTTTTATAAAGTTAAATATATTTATAATTATTAGAAATTAAGGAGTTTTAATTTAAACATGTAAAAATGAAAGCATTTAAATTTAAATTTAAATTTTAGATTTTGCAAAAGGAGACAGGATGGAAGGAAGAGAGGCATGAAGCCCTACTGCCCTAGGAAGTGGCGGTGCATGGAACCTGAGTTTGAATGAAGAAAGGGAGGGAATTGTTGGTTGGCATAGGCAGTTACAAAACCCTTCACCAAACCCCCTCTCCCCAAACCATGTCGCATTCCGATCCTTCAGAGAACCGATACTCCTTCACCCCCACTCTTCACTGGAACCCTAAACTGCACCAATACTTCCTCAAAGCCTATGGCGCCGATCACTTCTCTCGCATCTCCGCCGCGCTAACGTACGCCAACACCTCTTCCCATTTCTCAAACCTATTTCACTTCTAACTTCTAACTCTTTCGCTGCTTCACTTTGCAGCCGTCCTTCTCGCTACTCCTGCATTCGAGTCAACACGCTCAGGTCCACCGCCGACGCCGTCGTCCACAAGCTCCGCTCGCTCGTGCCGCCGCCGCCGCCGCCGCATTCCGATTCCGGCGGTGACGTGGCGAATCCCTTGAAGGACTGCTCCGATGCTGATGCTGCTCCTGCTCCGTTTTCCAGGTGTCGGATTCCTGGCCTCGATTACGTGGTGTTTGTTTGGGGCTCGGGACCGCACCGCATCGATTACGGCGACGCGCCTCCCAAGGAGGTCATTGTTAGCAGGAAGTGTGCTGAGGCTGTTCTTCGCGGTGCTCAGGTTTGTAATGTGTTTGCTGATTGCCGAATTCTGTGTTGTTGTCTTAGGGATCTTGAAGTTGATGCTGAAGGAACTGATTGTTTTGGTTTTAGATATATGTTCCTGGTGTAATGGCTTGCAGCGCTCATGTTGAGAAAGGAGATACAGTTGCTGTTTCGGTTGCGGTGGAGCAGCAGGGTGCTGATGGAGGATGGGGGATTGCTATGACACGTGGCACTGTTCTCCAAGGGTCACAGACAGGTAGAAACTGTATTTGTGTTAAATGCTGAAGGTATTTTCGTAGAGTTTGCTTTGAAAACCGTTGGTGGATGTAGTCATCAGGGAGATGGATTGTATTTTTAAAGAGACATGATGAACTTGTTTTATGGACAAAACTCAGATGCATTTTTTTAAAATGTTTTTGATGCTATTCTCCTATTAGAATAGGAGATTCACCTTGACGATGTGCATAATAATCATTTACATTAAAGGTCAGGATAGGTTGTTGAGGTAAAACTCTAATTTTGATCGGAGAACACTAAAAGCACTTGAGAATTAAGTTTTGGAGTTTAATGGTGATATACCGGCAATTTTATACTATCATCCAATCACAATCCACATAGATGATAAGTTTGTTGATTTTTATAATAATTACCTTAAAAGTTTTATACTATCATCCAATCACAATCCACTTAGATGATAAGTTCGTTGATTTTGATAGTAATTGTCTTGAAAGTCATATAAACTGCGATGTCTGATTGGTTGACTATTTAAAACTTTTTACACTATCAGTGTATTACCATTAAATCCTAAGTTTTGTACTTTTTTTATTAACAGAAATAGTTTCAAGTTGTAAGACATAAGTGGATTCTTCTTTTTAGAAATTATGTGATGGATGTTTAGTTTATAACCAAAGTGACTTGTTTATGAGGAGGATAAGTGTTTCCATTGAAATAAAATTTTAGGAATATGGTTGATAGAAATGTGTATTTTTCCTTGTTTTACAGATCCTTATTATTTTGAACGAAATGGGCTTTATATTGGGCAAGGAACAGCTATGTTGTCAAGGGCTGGAATGTTCCGAGTTTCTGAAGGAGTTGGTGTGGATATGAAGGATAGAGTATATGAACTTCATTCTTTTCACAGTAAATTTCATCTCTTGTTCATGTGCAATATTGTATTCTTGTCTTACACAATATTGAATACTTTAGTATTTCCTTTATCACTTAATGATTTTGTAATTTATGTTGTGTTTAAGCATCTTTGAATGCTGCAGCGGTTTCATGTACAATTAATGCCCTTGTAATTATTCATTTTTCTGTATTTTTTTTACTATATGTATCATTTTTTATTTTATTATATATACCTGATTCGTTGTTCCCCTATTTAAACACATGGTTGTGCTGATGTAGTGATGTAAGATATTGAAGCTTGCTTGAGTTACTTTTTGTATTTTTTTGGCTACAGTTGAATTGGCTTGAACCTTGAAAGTTATGAAATCTTTCTATTATGATGTAATGGGGCATGACAATTGACAATCTTTATATTTGTGCTAAAAATATATCTTTACTTTGATCTATGATTAGTTTAAGATTACCATAATCTCATTAGCTGGTGCTATTAATGATTGTTGCTTTTGTATGGAGTTGATGAAGGAAAGGAATACAGGAAACCAAATATTACATTTTTTGAACGAGTTTTGAAACCTGTTTCTCTGCTTTTGGAATCCTATATTCAAATTTTGTCTTTATATTATGCTGTTGGGAATGTTAATGAAGAACATTAGATATTGTATTTAATAAATTGTTCTTTAGGAGTTTCAGCAAGTGTTTATGGCTGGATCTTTTTGGAATTACTCAAGACAAATATAAGAATTGGCATTTGTTAGACTTATGTATATCTGAGGAGATTATCTTTCGGAAATTAGATTTTACATGGTTTCTGGCTTGGGAAGGGGAGAGGTGGACACTTGTATAGCTTTATTCAGCCTACAGATTTGTGATTATAGGTGTGAGATAGAATCTGGTGTGCTGCGGATGTTTTATTTCCCAGGGATCTTATGTAATTTTTATGGTCTTTTTTTGGTCTTCCTGTGTAGTCATTTATTTGTTGTTTTGCTCTTCGTTTTTGTATTGGTTTTTTCCCCTCTATAGAGGCCCCCACTTGGCATAGTCTAGCATTCCTGGCTGGGTTAATCTCCTTGTTGGCATTTATCTTTGCTCTTTTAATATATTCAGAATTTTTGTAAAATGTTCAATTATTCATGGTTTTGAATGCATGTGTAGCTGATGTATTATTGCTTCTTTTTTTGGTTTCCAGATGTGCTTGAGGGAGAGATATTTCTTCAAAACCTGCCAAGCATTATTGCTGCTCATGCTTTAGGTATGAAAATTGGAGTCTCATTTACAATTTTCTGACTTTGGAGTGATTTACATGTAAGGATATTGTTGCCCGCTTGTTTTCCTTGGTAGTAATTGCTTTTTTACTTTATTCCTTTTCAAACACTCCTGATTAAAATTCAACTGTGAGAATTTGGATTTGAACCATCATAGAATAATGCATGCCCTTTTAGTGGGGCTAGGTCTTTCTATGATCTCATCCACTACTGTCTACAGACTAAATGTTGATTTTGCACTATTGATTGCCCCCCCCCTCCTCTTTCATTTCTGTTTTAAGTTTTTTCTTATTTTAAGAAGGGTTCCTTATCCTCTCATTTCTTATATTTTTTTTGTCATAAATAAATTTCTTCTTATAGATTAATTTTCTATATTCAGATCCACAAATGGGTGAGCGGATACTAGATATGTGTGCTGCACCTGGAGGGAAAACGACTGCAATTGCAATACTTATGAAGGATGAAGGAGAGATCATTGCAACAGATAGATCTCATAATAAGGTGGGAATTCTGAACTCTAGTAAAATGCTTGCCATCCCTATTTGCTTGCATTAACATATTGTTGTATTTTCTAATTTATTTCAGTGTTTCATTGGTTGCCAGCTTTCTGAACCCTGTTTTTGATACACAGAATATTGGTTTTGTTTGTTATGATTGTGATAAATTAATGGTATGAATCTTGGAGAATTATAATAAATTGATGGTGTGTTAACATATCAAATTTTGATGACTGTCTAGGTGCTGGATATTCAGAAATTGGCAGCTGAAATGGGCTTGAGTTGTATAAAGACATTTAAATTAGATGCTCTTAAATCTGTTTGTCGAACAGATGATGTTGATGCTTTTACTGATCCATGCTCTAGTATTGCGAAAAATGATGTGACAAATCAAGTGTTTGATTCACCGAATTTGCAAGTAGAAAGAGTGTCACCCCTTGTTACGTTTAGAATCTCTGACTCTGGAAGAAAGTTAAATGCCTTTATTTGCTACTTGCTGACCTGTTCATTTATACATGATAGGAAGCACTATCAGGCCCTTTAGATACATGAATTAAGATTTTGTTCAATGCTAAAGCTGTACTATCAAGTGTGTTGGAATTGTATTTTGGTTTACACCTACTTCCTGTTAAACATCAAATTGCCCTTATTGTCTAACATTCTGTTTTTCATTGACAATATTGTTTGCTAAATGTGAACATCAAAGAAACTTATTCTTACATTTTTTAGATGAAAGAGAAAAGCATTGGCATATCTACTACTTACATATGAGACTCTGAGTTGCATGTTGTTTGTTATACCCATGGTTCTTTTACTTGCGCATTTGTTACATGTTTCTTGAAGGTTGACATATAGCCTGCCTCATCATCATCAAAGTATCATTTAGTGTTAAGAAATGGTCTGGAAAGTGAATAATGATGTTAAATATTATGTTTGCTTAGACATAAGTGGTAGACATGATTTATTGGATTTCTATTGGCTTATTTCTTTGGTATGGTTTTTCGCTTTCCTGTTTTATATTTGTTATGGACACGAAAATATTTCTCTGTCAACAATTTATAAATGCATTTTTAAATAATTTAAAGGTAAAGGCGATAATACAAATGGAAAAGCTTATGTTAGCAAAGCTGACATCCGGAAGAACATGCGAAGAGCGCGAAATGGACCTGGAAGAAATCAGAGTGTGGGTGGTCGGGTTGATCGTTCAAAAGGTTTTTCTCCTGACAGTTTTGACAGAGTTCTTCTTGATGCTCCCTGTTCTGCCCTTGGTTTAAGGCCTAGATTATTTGCTGGAGAGGTAGAAGTGGATCTGTCTATTGAAATTTATTCTGCATTAACTTAAATTTATACTCACACACATGCTCTGACCAATCTATATTTATTGGAGCAAATATAGATAGGTTATGGGGACTGGCTTATCTTAAAGTGGAGTTGTGTCCTCATTTTTCTTTTCTAGATTTAAACCACCATAAATTTTCTGCTACTAAATCCTGTTCAAATACGTGTGTTTCTTAACATTAAACTGAAATATAGGAATGTGTAGAAGTAATGGTTATTTCAATGTGATTGGGGAAAAATAATCTTCTATGGTAAATTCACCCTTCTTGCCCAGAAAGTGTAATTTGTGAAGTTGATCAATAAGCAGGAGTTATATAGATTTGCCAGTGATGCTTAGTCATTGTCGTCTGGGTGGTTAAGTTAGCTTTTATTCTTCTTTTTAAACAAAATAAATAAATTTAAACATGCAGAAAAAAATATTGTTTTAAAGAAAATAGTAGTAACAGTGCAAAGCATTTGTTTTTGGCAGGAAACAATTGAATCTTTAAGAAACCATGCAAAATACCAGAGAAGGATGTTCGACCAGGCTGTTCAATTAGTTCGACCAGGAGGAGTAATTGTCTATTCCACGTCAGTATGCACTTTTTGTTGATCACATTGCTCTATGCATGCTTACAAGTTTTCTATTAGGATGTGATCTTGTTTCTTCTGTACTGTCCATGACATTTTTATTATATTCCCTGCCAACCTTATTTTGGTTTCTAAATTTTAGTTTCTCTTTATAGGAAAAATTATCATGCAATATCAACTTCTCCTGCCCTCTTCATGTTATACATATACTGTTAGAATTTGCAATTGCATTTGTTCGGTTGAATTTAGTTTCTTATCAGTCGGTGTAAACTTTATTTATGGTTGTCTTTTACATAATCTTCCTACGCATATTTGTTTGTGCTGACACTTGGTAATTTTGATCTGCTGTGTATATCTAATACGCAATATTCTAATATTGCATTAATTTTTGTAATGGTCTGAACTATATTTTATTAAGTCTGTAAGTTGCTTTTTGGAATCTTCTCCAGGCTTCCAGCCAAACAGTTTGTACTGGTCAACAGCATATTACAATATTTAAGAGATTTTTTTTTCCCAATTATAATGAAGTTTGTTTTGTCATTATGCTGCTCTCAAACCGTTATGTTATAAATGGCTTGGCTCTACTGAAGTTTATTTACCCTTTTTTATTTGTGACACGTTTCTGTAAAACTGATTTGTTGATGCTATTGTCCTGTAATAGTTGTACGATTAATCCTGGTGAGAATGAAGCATTAGTTCGATATGCTTTGGATAAATACAAATATCTGTCATTGGCACCACAGGTTTGATGTTAATACTTTGCAGTCTCAATTCCCCCCGCTTTTTATTTTTTTATTTTTTTTTATTTGGTTAGGCTTCTATAATTCTAATTATACATGAGATTAACAGAAGGATGATCATTCTTAAATAGTCTTGTAATTTTTAAATAAAATGGTTGGTGTTGAGTACAAAAAAATTTGATGTTTAGTTTGTCTGTAATGAACTATTAGTTCCCTTGGCTGAGTTATTCGTACTTGCTATTTGATTTATTCCAGCACCCAAGAATTGGAGGACCAGGTCTAGTTGGTAGCTGTGAATTTCCTGATGGATATATAGAGTAAGCCCTTCATCCATTTTATCCATGATAGTATATCTCTCATCTCTCCGTCACACACGTATACACTCATCAGTGATGCTGTTTAGTTGTGTTTGAGGATATACCTTTCATTTCTTTTTATCAAAAAAAAATAATAAAAAATCAGTGCCAATTTTCAGTTTCACATCATGATATCGTAATTATACAGGGAGTGGTTACGACCTGGAGAGGAAGATCTTGTTCAGAGGTTTGACCCATCATCCCCCCTTGATACAATTGGATTTTTCATTGCCAAATTTCGCGTCGGGTCTAAAGATGCCTGACAGCTATTGATTAGATGTTGGCGTGCGTGGATCTATGTTTACTTCATAATTGCCATAGAAGGAAGCCATCAAAGTTTTTTATGGTTGGCCTCTGACAACAGTCTGGGAGCTTCACATATGTCCATATGAAAAATTAAGAAAGCATGAGTATAACTGCTTTATTTCAATGTTACAATCTAGATGGACGCCAAATTTTGTTAAATTTGAGGTAATTTACTTGTAATATCGGATTTTGCCTTAGCCTTTTGGAAAGAAGGGAAGATTTTGTTGAAAGATACTTCTGGTTAGACGCGAGTCTGTGTCCTAAATATTATGGTTATGGTGATGTTAATCATTATATCTCCCATTTTGCATCTGTTTTCTGTCCGCGTGTATTGTCAACTTGTTGTAGCTCCTATTTGAAGATCATTGAGCGTAACTTTTCGGATGTAATAGATACCTAGTTTTTCAGTCTCAAATATATACTTTGCGCTTCAAATTTTTTAAATATGAGGGGAAAAATGCATTAATAATTATCAACATGTCAATATATTTTATGTTCATCTTTTTTCACCCTTTTTTGCGAGAATTATCACAGAATATGTTGTCAATAAATTCTGCACATTTATCGTGAGTCTAACAACTAACAATTTTCTGATGACTCGCCAAAATATCCTTAGCAACAACACCCTGTTAACCATATAATGTCAACCAATCACTTGTTTTAAAGGGTTAATGTGAATATATTTAGAACTTCAAAACCATTAATAAGTTCACAGAAAAGGCATGTATCCAACCATTTGAAGATTTATGTTATCATGTAGTTATCACATTGCCAATTGTACATAGCTAAATTAGATCGTAATGTATAGATATTGTCCAAAATGAGGCATTAAAGGCAAGGTTCATCGCACTAAATTTTATTGGTGTTGAATTTACGAAACTCGCTGAATACCTGGCTACCCGCTACGTGTTATATTCTGCTTCATAATTGGTATGCTACTATTTTTTCCTCTCATCAACGAGTTTGCATATCACCCTAATTTTTGATCCTCTATTTTACTATTACTTTCTGAGCATCTTTTTTTAGTTATCATTTAAAGTAAATAGAATGAAAGAGATGGAGAAAAACAAGGAAAGTATAAAGGAATAATCCATCTAGACATGCAGCAAATAATTTGAAAATCGACTCTTTAAACTAATTATTGTAAGTATTTTTCTTTCACTTATGTCTTAATAGAACTTGATCCAAGCAGCATCAGAATTAGACGGTTACACAGGTAGTCCTACTAACATATATGCTCTTTATTTTACAAATTATTAACCAGATTCTTTCACACTTGAGCTGTTTTTGCCCTTTCCCCCTTTTCTCTTCTAGAGCTAGCTAATAGGTAAACTTTAATATGCTCCTAAATATCACAATCTTCCCACAAGCAACCATAACTTGCCTCATTAGAGACAAGCCCATCACAATTTTGAGAGTAAGATTCTTCATTAGCATAACTAAAATCCACCATCCCAACATAGTCATCTGAAAACCAATTCATTCTCACATCATTTAGTGGATTAGTTGGCTCCATGATGTCCATCATATTGAGCCACTCAAAATCATTCATAGAATGACACTCATACTTCTCCAAACAACTCAGCTCCTTCTGCTCTTGCTTCCTATCCATCATGTCAGGATGAACATTATTTTCTTCCATGTATTCTACCTTACCACGATCCTTATCATCCTCGCCCTCTTGATCTTCTTCTAGCAATTCTCTTAGGAGGGCCCCATCAATTTCAAAGACCTCTAAATCCATTTCTGATAAGTTCATATCATTGTTCTGATATGAGGCCATAAAAGAACTAGATATATATGGAAGAGGGAGAAAAGAAGAATGAGAAGGTTATCTTACATATTTTGAAAGGGTGGATACATGTTTCATATATATACACCTAATTGCAAAGATAAGCAGTAAAAGGGGCCATGACATGAAAATTACATTTACCTAATATTGCGGAAAACAAGTTGAGAAGGGGACTGAAAGACACCAAATTAAAGGGTGGTGAGAAAAGATGAGAAGGTTCTAAACATGTAAATGTGCTTATCTACTAGAATACGGCATTAATGAGTCACAGGAAGTGACAAGAGTGAGGTATTGAAAGGTTACGTGACTCACGGTTTTCATTGCCATTGATGGAGAATTAAGACAAAGCCAAAAAAGCCAAGGACGCCTCTAATATTAATTTGGCCAACATCTAAAATATAGGCACATACATATATATAGATTATAGAGAGTGTCTGGTTGTCGTGTTGCTAATTGCTATGCCATGGTGGGAGTTTGATTGCACCATTTACTAGAATTTCATGTTAGGGCATCTTAGTTTGGTGCAACGTATTAGTATGGTTGTCATTTTCGATCAATCCCACTCGTGACTTGTGCACCTTCTTTTATCTTCTACAAGTATTCCATTTAGGACAAATGCTTCCTTAAATAAAAACCAGACAGCCAGACACAGTCACAGACATAGTGAAGTACATTTACATCATATATCAATGCATTTTCAAACATTACATCATTCTCTCTTAGAGATTTTTTACATTTACGTCTATTCTAATATAAACAAGCTGCGTAACGAACTATAAATAAGTTTCTCATCAATGTTTTTTTTTCCTTCTTTTTCTCCTCTTACGTGACTTTTGGTTTTCAATTCTTTGGACTGGAAATTGGTAAAGTCACCTGTCAGAAAAATTCTCAGTGAAGCAAAGAGTTGATTAAAAATTCTTAGTACAGAATATACATCATTAAAAACTGAACAACTTGGTTAAGGATAATGTCAATATCACTTATGCCGAATAAAAAACCAATACTCTTGTAATGTTTATTTATGTAATAGTCATTATTTAACTTATTATATATATATATATATATATATAATTAAATCAAAATTAATTTTTATTTAATTATCCAATTAAATATATATTTTAGTATATTTAATTATTTGATGAAATAGTTAGCTACTTTAATTAACATCAAGTATATTGAGATATTTACAGATTATTATTTAAATAATATTTTTTGGCTTAAATAATATTTCTAGCAAGTAATTTTAGTCTCTGACATGTTATAATTGTATAATTTTGTATCTCAAATATCATAATTATACATTTTTTTTTACATATTTAAGTTATATATATTAGTAATTTTAGTAATCATAAATATATATATTAGGTAAAATAATTATATAATTATTATACTAGAAGGACTAAAAATGTATAATAACAATATTTGAAACACTAAAATTATTTAATTAAAATTTTGATACCAAAATCACTTAATTGCGATACTTGAGCAACTAAAATTATTCAATTAAAATTGCACAATTGTGATACTAATATATATATATATAGAGGGGGTTATAATTACACCGGTGTAATTTTTACTAAGTATTACACCGTTTAATAACTTTATATTAATTGTGAATTTTGTAAATCTAATCGTTAGATTGAAAGTTTATATTACTTTATATGTGTATATCAAATTTTGTTAAAGTTGAACAACAACTTCAAAGTAATCAAAATGTTCATATTTTAGTGTATTTTGAAATAAATATATTACGTCAATTTTGTTTTATAAAAATGAAGTATCAAATCATCTTGGATTAATATTTTGTATACATGATCTAAAAGATATGAACTTTCAATCTAACAATTAGATTTACAAAATTCATATTTAATATAAAGTCATTGAGTGCTGTAATACTTAGTAAAAATTACATCGGTGTAATTATAACCCTCCTCATATATATATATATATATATATATAACTCAATTAAACTAATATTTTATTATTTAATTTGATTTTTTATTGTTGATAAAAAAAATCTTACTCAAATTAAATCTGACATATCACCTACAAACTTACTATATGATAGAGTTGGTAATTTGATTTGATTCAAGGGACTAACTTGTATAATTTTTTTTTATCCATAAGAATTATAATGACAATACTAAGATTTGAAATTAAGATTTTGGATATTTTATTCCAATCACTATGTCACTCTAAATTTTTCAAAGAAATTCTAAATTTTTTTAATTGCTTTTTGAAATAAGGATTATTTTGAAATTTATCTTTTTGTTCACTCACTCTTCTTTCATCTTTTTTTTTTCTTCTTTGACTTCATCACTTTCTAACCAATCTTTGTCCAATTTTCTTTTTTATTTCCTACATTAAATAAATGTTGAAAATTTATGTGTTAAATTATATTTTTATTGATAATTTTTTGTGATTTATTTAGAATTATACGTAAAAAGTAATTAGTCACGCAAAATAAATTGATGAACTTTTTTTTTAATACGTGTGGTGGATTTCATTAGGCATGGAAAGTTGATAATCGGAACAAATTTGTCTTCTACATATTTCTTAGAAGTATTTTCCAAAATAATATATTTAATGTTAAAAAAAAGCATTTTTCTTGAAATGTTATAATATAAAATTTCAAATTATACTTTTTAGAAATGTTTCATAACATAAATGTTTACTGTTTAGGATATTTTCAGAATAAATGAAGAAAAAGAGAGTTTATGATTTAAAATTTAGAGTCAAAATATATTATTAATGGATGAATGTGTATTTAACAAAATTTGTACAAAAAAATAAGTTAGGACAAATTCTTAAATTATACGTTAAAAATATTACTTATTTGATCCAATTCTCTCTGTATCTTTATATATAAGGTGAGATTAACTTACTTTACTTAATAAATTATGATTTATATCAAATTTAAATGATTCAATTATTAAATTAAAAAATTTGTAATATATAAATCAGTCTACAATTTTTTAAAAAAGTTAAAATTATATGATACTTTATTATATTTTATGTTAATATTAACTGTTTGAAAAATCAACAAATTCATTTTAAAATTTAATTTATATCATTATTTTTTATAGATTAATAATATTATATTTATATTAAAATATCAAATAATTAAAATTTATTTTAAAATATTTAAATTTTTATAAAAATAAAAAATAATTACATTGATCCGATTAACTCAATCTAATTTAACTCTTGATAATTAAGATGAATTTTACCATTAAAAATATGACCCAATTTGACTTATAAATTTTGATTTTAAAATCCGTAGACGCAACAAAAGTGATAGCGTATAATGTGATATCAGATAAATACCATAAAATAATCCCATCAGTGGTATCAGAGCCGCTTGGTTAGATGCGGTAACAACTCTCATAACCCCTCATAACATATAATGTGATATATAAAGACAGATTCCGTTGCATGAAAGGTTAGGTCCCTTATTTGAAGGGAGGATTGTTGGGATACAAACAAGTCCCACATTGATAAAAATAAGACAAGAAATA